ACACTACACACACACACTACACACACACACTACACACACACGCTACACACACACACTACACACATACATACACTACATACACTACACACACACACCACACACACACTACACACACTACATACACTACATACACTACACACATACACACACTACACACATACACACACTACACACACACACCACACACACTAACTACATACACACACTACACACACTACACACACACACTACACACACACACTACACACACACTACACACACACACTACATACACACACTACACACACTACACACATACACACACACACTACACACATACACACACTACATACACTACACACACACTACATACACACACTACATACACTACACACACTACATACACACACTACATACACTACACACACACTACACGCACTACACACACATTACACACACACATCATACACTACAAACACACACTACACACACTACACACACATACTACACACACACACTACACACACTACATACACACACTACATACACTACACACTACACACATACACACACTACATACACTACACACACTACACACATACACACACTACATACACTACACACACACTACATACACACACTACACACACACACTACACTACATACACACACTACACACATACACACTCTACATACACTACACACACACACACACTACATACACACACTACACACACTACACACACTACACACACACACTACACACACACTACACACACACACTACATGCACACACTACACACACTACACACATACACACACACACTACACACATACACACACTACATACACTACACACACACTACATACACACACTACATACACTACACACACTACATACACACACTACATACACTACACACACACTACACGCACTACACACACATTACACACACACATCATACACTACATACACACACTACACACACTACATACACTACACACACATACTACACACACACACTACACACACTACATACACACACTACATACACTACACACTACACACATACACACACTACATACACTACACACACTACACACATACACACACTACATACACTACACACACTACACACACTACACACACATCATACACTGCATACACACACTACACACACTATATACACACACTACACACACACACTACACACACACACTACACACACACGCTACACACACACACTACACACATACATACACTACATACACTACACACACACACCACACACACACTACACACACTACATACACTACATACACTACACACATACACACACTACACACATACACACACTACACACACACACCACACACACTAACTACATACACACACTACACACACTACACACACACACTACACACACACTACACACACACACTACACACACACTACACACACACACTACATGCACACACTACACACACTACACACATACACACACACACTACACACATACACACACTACATACACTACACACACACTACATACACACACTACATACACTACACACACTACATACACACACTACATACACTACACACACACTACACGCACTACACACACATTACACACACACATCATACACTACATACACACACTACACACACTACATACACTACACACACATACTACACACACACACTACACACACTACATACACCCACTACATACACTACACACTACACACATACACACACTACATACACTACACACACTACACACATACACACACTACATACACTACACACACTACACACACATCATACACTGCATACACACACTACACACACTATATACACACACTACACACACACACCACACACACACTACACACGCTACACACACACACACTACACACATACATACACTACATACACTACACACACACACCACACACACACTACACACACTACATACACTACATACACTACACACATACACACACTACACACATACACACACTACACACACACACCACACACACTAACTACATACACACACTACACACACTACACACACACACTACACACACACACTACACACACACTACACACACACTACACACACACACTACATACACACACTACACACACTACACACATACACACACACACTACACACATACACACACTACATACACTACACACACACTACATACACACACTACATACACTACACACACTACATACACACACTACATACACTACACACACACTACACGCACTACACACACATTACACACACACATCATACACTACATACACACACTACACACACTACACACACATACTACACACACACACTACACACACTACATACACACACTACATACACTACACACTACACACATACACACACTACATACACTACACACACTACACACATACACACACTACATACACTACACACACACTACATACACACACTACACACACACACTACACTACATACACACACTACACACATACACACACTACATACACTACACACACACTACACACATACACACACTACATACACTACACACACACTACATACACACACTACATACACTACACACACTACATACACTACACACACTACATACACACACTACATACACTACACACACACTACACACACTACACACACATTACACACACACATACACTACATACACACACTACACACATACACACACTACACACATACACACACACACTACACACATACACACACTACACACATACACACACACACTACACACATACACACACTACATACACTACACACACACATGTAGGAGTACTGCAGGCGTAAGCCACTGGGAGTCGACGTCGCGGCTTCAATTTGCCAAAATTGTAAATAAATAAATAAGCAAGATGACTCAGTTGGGGATGGCAGTCACGGCAGACAATCCTCGCCCACTCCTGACAAGACTAATAACGTCAGATTTTTACCCTTTCTGGCAATGAAACAGGTGGTGTTCAGATGTTCAAAAACACTAAACACGAATCTTTTACAAAGGAATCATGTCGCTGCATTAACCACACGCGGCACTTGCGGTGAACATGGAAACCAACAACACATGGCTCTGGCGATGTGTGGCATTGTAACAAAGATGGGACCTTGCTTTGCCAGTATGAAGAATATGGATTCCTGCAGTGTCGAAAGCTCCAAATCAAGATGATAACGATAGCTTTTACCCTTTCTGGCAATGAAAGCAGGTGTCGGGATGTTAAAACGCCAAACAGAATCCCCTTTGCAAGGGCATCCTGTTCTGTATGGCAGTCTTCGAAGTTGATCGGTCTGCGCCGTCTTCGGGGTCCTAACCTCGAGCAGTGAGTGTTAGACAGCACGACGGAGTCGAGGTCGAGGCTTTTGCGACCACTATGGTCAACAACGAGCCTTTTGCCCGTCCAAGGGCGGTGTGTGTTGCAATGAAACGTGAAACTTGCAAGCGGGAAAGCACAGGCCGCTACGTGATCTTCATTCGCATCAATGCGCGTGTGCAATTTGTAAGGCCGCGCGGTGACGCAGACCTATTTCATTTGAAGGTTATATAATCCCTTGTTCATCTTGACGTCCTTTTTACTTTGATGTCTCAGCAGCAGCAGCAGTCACGGAGATCACGTGATGACGTGAGGGTTCTGCCTTTGTAGCGAGGGTTGTCAGTTGACGTCGAGGAGGGGGGAGGAGGCGCCTCGCCCCGCCCCCATGTGGAGTGACGTCACCCGCTAATTAATATTAATGGTGGGGAGGGGGGGTGTCCATTTGGAGGACGTCACCTCTTCATGATTATTAATCAGGGGGGACTGTTGGATGTGGAGTGACGTCACCTGCTCATGATTATTCATGAGGGGGCGGGTTCTCCATGCTGAGTGACGTCGCCCGCTCCTCATGATTATTAATGAGGGAGGGGGGGTGTCCATGTGGATGACGTCGCCTGTTCATGATTATTAATGAGGGGGGCTGGTCGACGTGGAGTGACGTCACGCGCGGGACACACAGACATTCTTGGCTCATTGTAGTAGGTAATAGAGGTTTTTCGGTGAGGTCACGTGAATTTAAATGCGTCGTTAAACCGAAGTTTCTGGGTTTGATCGCGTAAAAATAAAACATACACATTTGTGTGGATGCGATGTAACCTCTGTTATGGAAGACTAATAATATTGCAAGGCCAGGCGCTGAGTCGGGCCACGCAGGGATGCAAAGGTGGCTAGGAGATGTTAACTACCTCGCCCGGTGGACAGGTGGCCATGGGTTCGATCCAGACCCCTGCTGTATATTTGGAGTTTGTGTCTCTCTCTCACCGTGGTCGCGTGGATTTTTGTCCCTGTCCTTCGTTTATTCCCCGCCCCCCCCCTCTACGTTTAGAATCAACGTCACGCGTTTAGAGAGTATTTGGCTGCTCGAAATTTCCCACGTGAAGATGATGATGAGCCCACTTCGTTTAGCTATCCACTTGTAATAGCCCGGTCGCTGCTGAAAAAGAGCTACATAGCTCAGTGAGGCCCCGACCCGGTAAAAAAATAAAATAAAAGTTGTTCAGTTTAGAATCGCCAGAGAAAAGGAGAGGGTAGGGGGCGTGGAGGGAGGCGGTCAGTGGTGAGGAGGGGGATGAGTGTTGGGGGGAAAGGTGGGCGGGAGGGATGGGATGAATGGTTGCATCCAGCGTTGCTAAACCCCCCCTACCCCCCCACTCCCTTACCCAAGCGCGATTGGCTTCAAGTTTTAGCTGCCACTGGGGGTGCCCCTCGGAATGTGGAATGTTCGAGATGAGACGCCGATCACGTGGTGCGCCGTTCCCAGACCCCGCATAGAGGGTGCTCTATGGAGGAAGAAAAAAAAACCACCCACCACTCATCATGAATGATTACTTTCTCACCCTCGTCTTACCTCTCCTCTTCATCGTATCTCCCCCGCCCCCCCCTCCATGTTACCCCCTCCCCTCCTCACCCCCACACACACACACAGGTGCAGGCACCACTGGCAGTCCGCATGGCCTCCATCGTGAGCCCGTCTCCGCTGACCTCCTTGAGTCCTCGGGTCGCTCCGAGCGCCGTGAGCCCCATGGCCTGGCTGCCCCTAGCTGCCCTCGTCACCCTCGCCGCCGCATCATCCTCCTCATCCTCCTCATCGTCCTCCCTGGCTTCCATCTCGCCCGAGTGGGTGACCTTGATGACCCGACACGGCGCGGATGCTCAGGGGAGCAGCAGCAGCAACAACAACAGAAGTAAAAACTACAGCGGCAGCAGCAGCAACTACAGCAGCAGCAACTACAGCAGCAACAACTACAACTACAACAGTGGCAACTACAGCGGCAACAGCTACAACAGTGGCAACTACAGCGGCAGCGGCATGAGGAGGCTGCGCAGGGCCATCTCAGAAAGCGACAAGGCCGTCATCCTGGACCTCCACAATAGACTCCGGGGCCAGGTGTCCCCAACGGCCTCGAACATGGAGTACCTGGTGAGTGGCCAGGAGATGTTAACTCCCTCGCCTGGTATACAGGAGGTCCTGGGTTCGATCCAGATCCTGACGCCTGCTGCTGTATATTTGGAGTTCGCATGCCTCTCTCTCCGTGGTGAGATGTTAACTACCTCGCCTGGTATCCAGGAGATCCTGGGTTCGATCCAGATCCTGACGCCTGCTGCTGTATATTTGGAGTTCGCATGCCTCTCTCTCCGTGGTGAGATGTTAACTACCTCGCCTGGTATCCAGGAGGTCCTGGGTTCGATCCAGACCCTGGCGCCTGCTGCTGTATATTTGGAGTTCGCGTGCCTCTCTCTCCGTGGTGAGATGTTAACTACCTCGCCTGGTATCCAGGAGGTCCTGGGTTCGATCCAGACCCTGACGCCTGCTGCTGTATATTTGGAGTTCGCGTGTCTCTCTCTCTCTCACCGTGGTAGCGTGGATTTTTCAACGGGTCCTCCGATTCCCCTCCCCTCCGCCTTCACAGGCGTTTAGAGTTATTTGGCTTCTATACATTTCCCAACGATGATAAATGAGCCACTTCGTTGAGCTATCGTCTGTGATGATATCGCCAGGGTCGCTTCTGAAGAAAGAGCTACGTAGCTCAGTGGGCCTTACCTGGTCAAATATAATAGAATGAGGGGGGGAGGGGGGGTGGAGGTTTGACCTTGACCTGACCTTCATTAATTGACCCACGCCCTTACCCCTCCTACAAGGGCCTCTTTGATGGGTGTGTGTGTGGAGTAGAGGTGTGCGTAGTGGGGAGCGGTGGTGTAGCGGTCAGAGCGCTGCGCTACGAACCCTGGCGTCCCAAGTTCGATTCCCGCTCACGGCCAACACCGGTGACGATTATCTGAACCGGTCCCGGGCCTCCCCTAGGTCGACTCGGCCTCAAATGAGTACCTGGTGCAGTGAAACATTGATACTAGGGAGACAAAGGCGGCCAGGCGCGGTGTTGGCCACCCACCCCTACGTGCACGCTAACAGCACTTGCCCCAACATTCTGTTAAGGATATACGGGGCATATTTATCTTTGTTGCTGGTGGTGCTGGGGGAGGAGGAGTTGTAGATTCTAAAGTAAAATCTTTCCTGGGTATAATCAGCCTGGATTGTGCTAGGAGCTCACAGGACCTTGAAAGATCTGGACAAAGTCCCATCGGTGAGCTCCTTCGGCAGGCAAGGCTGCGTTGGCTGGGTCATGGAGCCCGCATGCCCAGCCACCGCATGCCGAAACAGCTTTTGTTCGGCCGGATCGAGGGGGCTAAACAGGTTAGAGACGAGATGGACTGATGCAGTACAGGAGGATGTGTAGCTGAGTGGACCCCCGATGAGTGGTACTAGCGGTGTCAAGATTGGCCTCTGTAGAGGAGGCTCGTGAAGGACACTGCTGCTGCTGGGCAGTTGGAGGCAGTCGCCCTCCAACAACAACGGAGGGCAGAAGAGCAACGCTCACAACAACGAGCGGAGCGCCGGGTGACTAAGACGCAGCAATTTGGCACAGGAAGGAGCACAGGTGGTGCATTGGCCAGTCATCTCAGTCCGTCGACCTATGGCACCTGAAGGGTCTGTCCCGTGACGTGGTGCGTGTATGTGGTGCGGGTGCGGTGCGTGTGTGGTGTGTGTATGTGGTGTGTGTACGCGGTGCGTGTATGTGGTGCATGTGTATGCAGTGTCTATGTGGTACGTAACGCTGTGTGGAAGCTACCTGGTCTGTCGCTCCGCACTAAGCTTCAGGTCTTCTCGGCCGCAGTCATTCCCTCCCCTTCTCTGCGCTTGCGAAGCGTGGACCCCCTTAATGGAACGTCTTCGCCGGTTAGAAACATTTGGGCTGGCCTGCCTACGTTCCATCCTGGGTTTGGCCGGGCTGGATTGTGTGAGGAGCTCAGAAATCCTTGGGGGGTCTGGGCAAGGTCCCATCGGTGAGCTCCTCCGGCGGGCAAGGCTGCGTTGGCTGGGTCATGTAGCCCGCATGCCCAGCCACCGCATGCCGAAACAGCTTTTGTTCGGCCGGATCGAGGGGGCTAAACGGGCGCGGCACGGGCTGGAGAAGAGATGGAGTGATGTGGTACAGGAGGACGTGGAGCTGAGTGGACTTGCCGATGACTGGTACCAGCGGTGTCAAGATCGGCCTCTGTGGAGGAGGCTCGTGAAGGACGCTGCTACTGGGCAGTGCCAGGCTAGGTGCACCTTGAGGCTACTGGGCAGTTGGAGGCAGTCGCCCTCCAACAACAACGGAGGGCGGAGGAGCGACACTCACAACAACGAGCGGAGCGCCGGGTGGCTAAAGCACAGCAGGTTGGCACAGTAGGGGGCACAGGTGGTGCATCAGCCAGTCATCTCAGTCAGTCGACCCGTGGCACCTGGGTCTGCCCCGTGACCTCCTGCCCGCGGGCGTTCGACACTTCACGTGGCCTCAAGGTGCAAATGGCCTGGCACAAGCGTCGTGGTGACGTCACCGCCACTTAGTGGCGAATGGCGGTTGTTGTTGTTATGTGGTACGTGCGGTGTGTGCGTGAGGTGTGCGTGCGGTGTGCGTGCGTGTGTGTGTGATGCGTGTGTATGTGGTGCGTGTGTTCATGATGCGTGTGTGTGCGATGCACGTGTGATGCGTGTGTGTGATGTGATGTGTGTGTGATGTGATGCGCGTGTGTGTGATGTGATGCGCGTGTGTGATGTGATGCGCGTGTGTGATGTGATGCGTGTGTGTGATGTGATGCATGTGTGTGATGTGATGCGTGTGTGATGTGATGCGCGTGTGTGTGATGTGATGCGCGTGTGTGTGATGTGATGCGTGTGTGTGTGATGTGATGCGTGTGTGTGATGTGATGCGTGTGTGTGTGATGTGATGCGTGTGTGATGTGATGCGTGTGTGTGATGTGATGCATGTGTGTGTGTGTGATGCGTGTGTGTGTGATGCGTGTGTGTGTGATGCGTGTGTGTGTGATGTGATGCGTGTGTGTGTGATGTGATGCGTGTGTGTGTGTGTGGTGTGATGTGTGTGTGTGGTGTGATGTGTGTGTGTGATGTGATGCGTGTGTGTGTGGTGTGATGCGTGTGTGTGGTGTGATGCGTGTGTGTGTGATGTGTGTGTGATGTGATGTGTGTGGTGTGATGCGTGTGTGTGTGTGGTGTAGGTGTGTGTGTGATGCGTGTGTGGTGTGATGCGTGTGTGTGTGATGCGTGTGTGTGTGATGTGTGTGCTATGTGATGTGTGTGGTGTGATGCGTGTGTGTGTGATGCGTGTGTGTGTGTGTGGTGTAGGTGTGGGACTCGGAGCTGGAGCGCTCTGCCGAGCACTGGGCCGAGACGTGTCTGTGGGAGCACGGTCCCGCAGGGGAGCTCAGCCGCATCGGCCAGAACCTCGGGGCACACTGGGGCAGGTGAGCGGGGTGAGGGTGAGGGTACTGGGACAGGTGAGTGGGGTGAGGGCACTGGGGCAGGTGAGTGGGGTGAGGGTACTGGGGCAGGTGAGTGGGGTGAGGGTACTGGGGCAAGTGAGCGCATCCCCCACGCGGTTAGCGAATTCTCCTGCTCCATCGTGGCACCACGTGGACATTGCGGCTGAGATTTCACCTGGGGGTTGTGCGTTGCATGCGCGAACGTTGAGCTTCTTTCGCACGGTACGTAGACAACCGTGGTGAATTGGAGGTGCGGCGTGGATGAGCGGGGCGGGGGGTGGGGGAGGGGGTAGACAACTACCCAAAGACAAAAAGCAGTTTTAAAGAAATGAATTTTCAATCTGGATGGCATAAAGTGCATAGCTCCCCAGTGGCTTCCTAACAAGATTTTTCCGCACACGTCGGACACACTACATCCAGCCTACCGCTCTCGCGTTGCCTGTTGCCAGCTGTCGCTCTCTATCCACGGGGAGCGGCGTCCAACACCAGTTACATTTCGCTGGTGCGGCTGATGGGATGTGTTAAGACATTTTTTTATATATATTGTTCTTTTTAAAGCAGAGGGACAGGTAAGTGATGGAGGCGTATCTTACCTATAAATGTGACCTCTGGTTGGAGCCAAATTTAAGGGTGGAAGGGGGCTCCTATCAAGGCTAACCCCCCCTGCTCACCCCGTGCCCCCCTCATCTCCCCCCCCGTCCCCTCCCATAGGTTTCGCCCCCCCACGTTCCATGTGCAGGCGTGGTACGACGAGGTGCGGGACTACAGCTTCCCGTACCCACACGAGTGCAATCCCTGGTGCCCCTTCCGCTGCACAGGGCCCGTGTGCACTCACTACACGCAGGTGAGTCACTCACCACGTGCACTCACCACGTGCACTCACTACACGCAGGTGAGTCACTCACCACGTGCACTCACCACGTACACTCACCACGTACACTCACCACGTGTACTCACTGCACGCAGGTGAGGCACTCACCACGTACACTCACCACGTACTCTCACCACGTACACTCACTGCACGCAGGTGAGCCACTCACGCCATCCCTGTCTCGAACCCTAACCACTCAAACTCTGCTCCTGCCTCTCCTCCGTGCCTGCCCCTGACCTTGCTCTCATCCTTGACCCTCATCCCTACCCCTCATCCCTGCCCCTGCCCCAACAGCTCGTGTGGGCCACCTCCAGTCGGATCGGCTGTGCCATAAACCTGTGCTACAACATGAACGTGTGGGGTCAAGTGTGGGCCCGTGCCGTCTACCTCGTCTGCAACTACGCCCCCAAGTGAGCAGAGGTGTCCCGGTTCGAGACCCCCAGTGTCTCGCTCTTTCGCTCCGCGGGCTCACCGTGGCCGTGTCGGAGATACCGAGCCAGCACTAGTGCCGGATTAAGCCAGTGTGGGGCCTGTAGCGTATGTTAGAAAGGGGCCCTACATAAATAAATAAAACATGTAAATATTGAAACATACATTTTTTTACTTGCATAGTAATTTGGATTTTTTAATCTGCTATACAGCCAGATAATACGACAAATCGCTAAACTGAAACACCCAGTCGTTCATCAAAGTTGAAGGCTGTATAGTACTATAGTAATAGAGCAAGTGCAGAAGCACTGAACCGGAATTGATCGCTTGAAAGCGTTTAGCGCGGGGCCCTTGAAAGCGCGGGGCCCGTAGCATTTGTAGATAGTTCTGCTACTAGGATAATCCGGCACTGGCCAGCACCGATTATATCCTGGGGTTTTAAGCCCTGTGGGTTCATTGACGGGGAAGATGGTTGACAACCATTGGAGAAGAAGGACGGGGATTGGCTGAGGGAAATGTGGGGGGGTGAGCGAACCTTCGAGAAAGGGGACTTCGAGGGATTTAAAGGGGGATAGAACAAGGGGAAGAGACGGTTGTAATGAAGACAAAGTTCGGGCCTAAAGAATAGTGTTCGTGTCTACAACAAAGGCTCCGAGTAAAGTAAGAACGTGTGTCGGTTGTCTTTACAAAAGGAAGAGCTGGTGGCACTGCTGAGATCCTGGGTTCAAGCGCTGAGACTGGCTGTATATCTGTATGAGTTCACAGTGGCCGTGTTCAGCCATGTGTGGTTAAACCCGAGTTCTCAGGGCCAGTGAGTTGATGGTCTCAGCCTGGACACCATTGTATGCGGATGTCGATGGGTCTCTATGTAAGTCAGTGGGTTTGCTGTGCGAGTCTATGGGTCTCTATGCAAGTCTCTGTGTAAGTCACGGGTGATCAGGCTGAGACCATCAACTCACTACAATTGAGATCCCCGATTGGTCAGAGATTGGAACTCTGGATCTCAGCAACATGATCCCTGATCTCTAAGCCATCCGGCCCTATCAATGACTTAAACTTAATAATAGGGTTTTCCCCCTTTCTTCTGGCAACAAAACTGAAACCTTTTTACAAGGATTCATGTCTGTATTAACCACAATACCTGCAGTCAAAATGCAAACAAAAAACATACTATGATAATATGATGCATTGTCCTTGAAACTGATTGGTCCACACCAAGGGACGGCTTTCTTTTGAGCCTCGACCCAATTGGTGCTCGACCAGATGACGCCAGACGGCGTACAGCTCAAAGACAATGCACTATCAAAGTATGTTTTTTGTTTGCATTTTGACTGCAGGTATTGTGGTTAATGCAGACATGAATCCTCGTAAAAAAGGTTTCAGTTTTGTTGCCAGAAAAAAGGGGGAAAACCCTATTATTACATTTTGGTACTGGCAAAGGAGGTCTAATGATGACTTCAACTTATTTTACCAAGTAAGGTCCACTGAGTTATATAGCTCTTTTTCAGAAGCGACCTGGCCACAAATGATAGCCCAATTTAGTGGCTTATCGTGTGGAAATGTACAGCAGCCAAATACTGTAATTGCATGTTTCTAAATGTGGAAGGAATAACTGGAAGACACAGAAAAAAAATCCACGCGTCCACGGAGAGAGAGAGACATACAAACTCCAAATATACAGCAGGCGTCAGGGTTGGGATCGAACCCACAACCTCCTGTATACCAGGCGAGGTAGTTAACATCTCTCAACTGTGGCACCCCCACTCATTGTGTGTTCCAGGGGCAACTGGTGGGGGTCGGCCCCCTACAAGGTGGGGCGCCCGTGCTCCGAGTGCCCCCCCAGCTACGGAGGGGGCTGCCGGGACAACATGTGCTTCTGGGGTGCGGCAGCAGCACCAGCCCTGACACTAACACTGGGCCTGACACTAACACTGGGCCTGACACTAACACTGGGCCTGACACTAACACTAGCCCTGACACTAACACTGGGCCTGACACTAACACTAGCCCTGACACTAACACTGGGCCTGACACTAACACTAGCCCTGACACTAACACTGGGCCTGACACTAACACTAGGCCTGACAATAACACTGGGCCTGACACTAACAATCGCCCTGATACTAACATTGGGCCTGACTAAACACTAGCCCTGACACTAACACTAGGCCGGACACCAACACTGGGCCTGACACTAACAATCGCCCTGATACTGAGCCTGACACTAACACTAGCCGTGACACTAATACTGGGCCTGACACTAACACCAGCCCTGACACTAACACTAGGCCTGACGCTAACACTAGGCCTGACACTAACACTAGGCCTGACACTAATACGAGCCCTGACACTAACACTGGGCCTGACACTAACACTAGGCCTGACACTAACACGAACCCTGACACTACCATTAGGCCTGACACTAACACTAGGCCTGACACTAAAACCAGGCCTGACACTAACACTAGGTTTGACAATAACACTAGGCCTGACACTAACATTAGGCCTGACAATAACACTAACCCTGACACTAACACTAGCCCTCACACTAACACTAGGCCTTACACTAACACTAGGCCTCACACTAACATTGCGTCTGACACTAACACTAGGCCTGACAATAACACTAACCCTGACACTAATACTGGGTCTGACACTAGCACTAGATCTGACACTAACACTAGGTCTGACACTAACACTAGGCCTCACACTAACACTAGCCCTGACACTAACACTAGCCCTGGCACTAACACTAGAACTGACACTAACACTAGGCCTGACACACTAGGTCTGACACTAACACAAGGCCTGACACTAACACTAGGCCTGACACTAACACTAACCCTGACACTAACACAAGGCCCGACACTAACACTAACCCTGACACTAACACTGGGCTTGACACTAACACTAGGCCTGACATGAACACTAGGTCTGACACTAACACTAACCCTGACACTAACACAAGGCCTGACGCTAACACTAACCCTGACACACTGGGCTTGACACTAACACTAGGCCTCACACTAGCACTAGTTCTGACACTAATACTAGCCTTGACACTAGCACTAGGCCTAACACTAACACTGGGCCTGACACTAACACTAGGTTTGACACTAGCACTGGGCCTGACACTAACACTAGGCCTTACACTAACACTGGGCCTGACACTAACACTAGGCCTTACACTAACACTGGGCCTGACAACAACACTAACCCTGACACTAATACTAGCCATGACACTAACACTGGGCCTGACACTAACACTAGGTTTGACACTAGCACTGGGCCTGACACTAACACTAGGCCTTACACTAACACTGGGCCTGACACTAACACTAGGCCTTACACTAACACTGGGCCTGACAACAACACTAACCCTGACACTAATACTAGCCATGACACTAACACTAGCCCTGACACTAACCCTGGGCCTGACACTAACACTAGCACTGACACTAACACTAGCCTTGACACTAACACTAGTCCTGACACTAACACTAGGCCTGACACTCACACTAGGCTTGACAATAACACTAGGCCTGACACTAACACTGGGCCTGACACTAACACTAGGCCTCACACTAACACTAGCCCTGACACTAACACTAGGCCTGACACTAACACTAGGCCTGACACTAACACTAACCCTGACACTAACACTAGGTTTGACAATAACACTAGGCCTGACACTAACACTAGGCCTGACACTAACACTAGCCCTGCCATTAAAACTAGGCCTGACACTAACACTAGGCCTGACACTAACACTAACCCTGACACTAACACTAGCCCTCACACTAACACTAGGTCTTACACTAACACTAGGCCTCACACTAACACTGGGCCTGACACTAACACTAGGCCTGACACTAACACTAGGCCTGACACTAACACTGGGCCTGACACTAACACTAGGCCTGACACACTAGGTCTGACACCAACACTAGCCTTGACACTAACACTGGGCCTGACACTAACACTAGGCCTGACACTAACACTAACCCTGACACTAACACTAGCCCTCACACTAACACTAGGCCTTACACTAACACTAGGCCTCACACTAACACTAGGCCTGACACTAACACCAGGCCTGACACTAACACTAGCCCTGACACTAACACTGGGCCTGACACTAACACTAGGCCTGACACACTAGGTCTGACACCAACACTAGCCTTGCCACTAACACTGGGCCTGACACTAACACTAGCCCTGATACTAACACTAGCCCTGACACTAACACTAGCCCTGACACTAACACTAGATCTGACACTAACACTAGGCCTCACACTAACACTAGGCCTGACACACTAGGTCTGACACCAACACTAGCCTTGACACTAACACTAGGCCTGACACTAACACTAGGCCTGACACTAACACTAGGCCTGACACTAACACTGGGCCTGACACTAACACCGGGCCTGACACTAGCACTAGTCCAGACACTAACACTAGTCCTGACACTAACACTGGGCCTGACACTAACACTAGGCCTGACACTAACACTAGCCCTGACACTAACACTAGCCCTGACACTAACACCGGGCCTGACACTAACACTAGCCCTGACACTAACACTAGCCCTGACAATAACACTAGCCCTGACACTAACACTAGCCCTGACACTAACACTAGGTCTGACACTAAGACTAGGTCTGACACTAAGACTAGGTCTGACACTAACACTAGCCTTGACACTAACACTGGGCCTGGCACTAACACTAGCCTTGACACTAACACTAGGTCTGACACCTGCACTAGGCCTGACACTAAACTAGGTCTGACACTAGCACTAGGCCTGACACTAACACTAGGTCTGACACTAACACTAACCCTGACACTAACACTAGGCCTGACACTACTACTGGGCCTGACACTAACACTAGCCCTGCCACTAAAACTAGGCCTAACACTAACACTAGGTCTGACACTAGCACTTGGGCCTGACACTAACACTAGGTCTGACACTAACACTAGCCCTGACACGAACACTAACTCTGACACTAACACTAGGCTTACACTAACACTGGGCCTGACACTAACAGTAGGCCTTACACTAACACTAGGCTTCACATTAACACTGGGCCTGACACTAACACTAGGCCTCACACTAATACTAGCCCTGACACGAACACTACCCCTGACACTAACTCTCGGCCTTGACACTAGCACTAGGCCTGACACTAACACTGGGCCTGACACTAACACTAACCCTGACACTAATCCTTGGCCTCACATTAACACGAGTCCTGACAATAACACTAGGTTTGACACTAACACTAGCCCTGACACTAACACTGGGCTTGGCACTAACACTAGCCCTGACACTAACACTAGGCTTCACATTAACACTGGGCCTGACACTAACACTAGGTCTGACACTAACACTATGCCTCACACTAATACTAAACCTGACATGAACACTAGGCCAAACACTAACACTGGGCCTGACACTAACACTAGCCCTGCCACTAACACTAGTCCTGACACTAACACTGGTCCTGACACTAACACTAACGCTGACACTAACACTAGCTCTGACACTAACACTAGGCCTGACACTAACACTAGCCCTGCCACTAACACTAGCTCTGACACTGACACTAGCTCTGACACTAACACTAGGTCTGACACTTACACTAGGCCTGACACTTACACTAGGTCTGACACTTACACTAGGTCTGACACTAACACTAGCCCTGACACTAACACTGGGCCTGACACTAACACTAGGCCTTACACTAACACTGGGCCTGACACTAACACTAACCCTGACACTAATACTAGCCATGACACTAACACTAGCCCTGACACTAACCCTGGGCCTGACACTAACACTAGCACTGACACTAACACTAGCCTTGACACTAACACTAGTCCTGACACTAACACTAGGCCTGACACTCACACTAGGCTTGACAATAACACTAGGCCTGACACTAACACTGGGCCTGACACTAACACTAGGCCTCACACTAACACTAGCCCTGACACTAACACTAGGCCTGACACTAACACTAGGCCTGACACTAACACTAACCCTGACACTAACACTAGGTTTGACAATAACACTAGGCCTGACACTAACACTAGGCCTGACACTAACACTAGCCCTGCCATTAAAACTAGGCCTGACACTAACACTAGGCCTGACACTAACACTAACCCTGACACTAACACTAGCCCTCACACTAACACTAGGTCTTACACTAACACTAGGCCTCACACTAACACTGGGCCTGACACTAACACTAGGCCTGACACTAACACTAGGCCTGACACTAACACTGGGCCTGACACTAACACTAGGCCTGACACACTAGGTCTGACACCAACACTAGCCTTAACACTAACACTAGGCCTGACACTAACACCAGGCCTGACACTAACACTAGCCCTGACACTAACACTGGGCCTGACACTAACACTAGGCCTGACACACTAGGTCTGACACCAACACTAGCCTTGACACTAACACTGGGCCTGACACTAACACTAGCCCTGATACTAACACTAGCCCTGACACTAACACTAGCCCTGACACTAACACTAGATCTGACACTAACACTAGGCCTCACACTAACACTAGGCCTGACACACTAGGTCTGACACCAACACTAGCCTTGACACTAACACTAGGCCTGACACTAACACTAGGCCTGACACTAACACTAGGCCTGACACTAACACTGGGCCTGACACTAACACTAGGCCTGACACTAACACTAGGCCTCACACTAACACTAGCCCTGACACTAACATTAGGCCTGACACTAACACTAGCCCTGACACTAGCACTAGTCCTGACACTAATACTAGCCCTGACACTAACACTAGGCCTGACACTAATACTGGACCTGACACTAACACTCGGCCGGCACTAACACTAGGCCTTGACACTAGCACTAGTCCAGACACTAACACTGGGCCTGACACTAACACTAGGCCTGACACTAACACTAGCCCTGACACTAACACTAGCCCTGACACTAACGCCGGGCCTGACACTAACACTAGCCCTGACACTAACACTAGCCCTGACAATAACACTAACCCTGACACTAACACTAGCCCTGACACTAACACTAGGTCTGACACTAAGACTAGGTCTGACACTAACACTAGCCTTGACACTAACACTGGGCCTGGCACTAACACTAGCCTTGACACTAACACTAGGTCTGACACCTGCACTAGGCCTGACACTAAACTAGGTCTGACACTAGCACTAGGCTTGACACTAACACTAGGTCTGACACTAACACTAACCCTGACACTAACACTAGGCCTGACACTAATACTGGGCCTGACACTAACACTAGCCCTGCCACTAAAACTAGGCCTAACACTAACACTAGGTCTGACACTAGCACTTGGGCCTGACACTAACACTAGGTCTGACACTAACACTAGCCCTGACACGAACACTAACTCTGACACTAACACTAGGCTTACACTAACACTGGGCCTGACACTAACAGTAGGCCTTACACTAACACTAGGCTTCACATTAACACTTGGCCTGACACTAACACTAGGCCTCACACTAATACTAGCCCTGACACGAACACTAGGCCTTCCACTAACACTAGGCCTCACACTAATACTAGCCCTGACACTAACACTAGTCCTGACACTAACACTAACCCTGACACTAATCCTAGGCCTGACACTAACACTACCCCTGACACTAACACTCGGCCTTGACACTAGCACTAGGCCTGACACTAACACTGGGCCTGACACTAACACTAGCCCTGACACTAACACTAGTCCTGACACTAACACTAACCCTGACACTAATCCTAGGCCTCACATTAACACGAGTCCTGACAATAACACTAGGTTTGACACTAACACTAGCCCTGACACTAACACTGGGCCTGGCACTAACACTAGCCCTGACACTAACACTAGGCTTCACATTAACACTGGGCCTGACACTAACACTAGGTCTGACACTAACACTATGCCTCACACTAATACTAAACCTGACATGAACACTAGGCCAAACACTAACACTGGGCCTGACACTAACACTAGCCCTGCCACTAACACTAGTCCTGACACTAACACTGGTCCTGACACTAACACTAACGCTGACACTAACACTAGCTCTGACACTAACACTAGCTCTGACACTAACACTAGGCCTGACACTAACACTAGCCCTGCCACTAACACTAGCTCTGACACTGACACTAGCTCTGACACTAACACTAGGTCTGACACTTACACTAGGCCTGACACTTACACTAGGTCTGACACTAACACTAGCCCTGACACTAACACTGGGCCTGACACTAACACTAGCCCTGACACTAACACTAGCCCTGACACTAACACTGGGCCTGGCACTAACACTAGCCCTGACACTAACACTAGGCTTCACATTAACACTGGGCCTGACACTAACACTAGGTCTGACACTAACACTATGCCTCACACTAATACTAAACCTGACATGAACACTAGGCCAAACACTAACACTGGGCCTGACACTAACACTAGCCCTGCCACTAACACTAGTCCTGACACTAACACTGGTCCTGACACTAACACTAACGCTGACACTAACACTAGCTCTGACACTAACACTAGCTCTGACACTAACACTAGGCCTGACACTAACACTAGCCCTGCCACTAACACTAGCTCTGACACTGACACTAGCTCTGACACTAACACTAGGTCTGACACTTACACTAGGCCTGACACTTACACTAGGTCTGACACTAACACTAGCCCTGACACTAACACTGGGCCTGACACTAACACTAGCCCTGACACTAACACTAGCCCTGACACTAACACTAGGCCTGACACTAACACTGGGCCTGACACCAACACTAGCCCTGACACTAACACTAGGCTTGACACTAACACTAGGCCTGACTCTAACACTAGTCCTGATACTAACACTATGCCTCACACTAACACTAGGCCTCACACTAATACTAGCCCTGACACTAACACTAGGCCTGACACTAACACTAGGCCTGACACTAACACTAGCCCTGACACTAACACTAGCCCTGACACTAACACTAGGCCTGACACTAACATTAGGTCTGATCCTAATACTAGTCCTGACATTAAAACTAGCCCTGACACTAACACTATGCTTGACATTAACACTAGGCCTCACACTAATACTAGCCCGACCACTAACATTAGGTCTGACACTAACACTGGCCCTGACACAAATACAAGGTTTCACACTAACACTAGGCCCTGACACTAACACTAGGCCTGACACTAACACTAGGCCTGACACTAACACTAAAACTGGGCCCGCCATTCTCCATAGCCCCCGAGACTGCTCCCAGTGTCGTCCTCCAGTGTCCCCCCCCCCCCCCCCTCCTCTCTGCAGGAGGGAGCGGTGAGCGACCTCTGCCCGGGCCTGACACGGGCACCAAGGTGGAGGAGGTGGACGAGGAGACTGAGGAAGAGGAGGGCCCCAACGAGGTGGAGCCGCGTGGGGCCCCTGAGCCGACCCGGCCCGCTCGCACCACGACCACCGCGGCACCCCCCGTGGCCCCGCCGGACGCGAGAGAATTTGACATTCGCGAAGTAATAAGCGTAGAGGAAATGAGTAGGCGCCCTCTTCCCTCGCCTCTCCGCGGCACGCGCGCACATGCACGCACCCACATCATCAGCATCAGAATATTTCCTTGGCACTGGAGGAATCCGATGAGCTGTGAAGCCCTTTTCTTTTTCACCGATGTCTCCAGTAGAGGCAGGTCAGATGTTTTCCGAACACAAAGACAAACACCTCCCCCCCCCACCACCCCCGTGTAGCCTCAACGGACTATTGGGGCAAGTGCTGTTAGCGAGCACCTTTGAAGGTTGGCCACTGCGCACGAGGGGGTTGGTGGCCAGCACCATGCCCAACTGCCTTGTGATGTGGTGATGCTTACACACCGCACAATAATGAACATCATGGCCGGACCCCGGGGTCCCATAAGCTCCCGGCTCTCGCATAAACTGCATTGCGACGTCATTTTATGCCTGTTGAAGGCGAACGACACGGCGATCTATTCATCTCGACGAGCTCTACACGATGCGCTAATCAAAGTTTAAAAGTTGTGTTTCTTCTGCGCATTCGACCTCGCCGCGCTTGGACGACACGACAACAGAACGTTCCGCGCCAGGTGGGTCTCGGCGTTTACGTGCGCAGTGGGACGGAGTCGCCAAAACGAAATAAATTAATTACGATTTTGACTTCCCCGCCATAAGGTTCATATACTCATTTGAGGCTGAGTTGACATAAGGGAGGCCCATGACCGTTTTAGACATTCGTCACTGGTGTTGGCCGTGAGCGCGAATCGAACCCGGGTCACCGGGTTCGAGCATAGCGCGCTAACCACTACACGACCACTGCCCACACACAAATACACACACACATCGTACCGTCCATACAACCCTGGGGCAACTGCTGTCATGACCACGTGGTGGTCGCGGTGGTGATGGGATGGTGGTGGTGATGGTAGCATCGTGGTGGTAACGTTGTGGTGATGATACCAAGGTGGTGGTGATGGCATGGTGGTGTCGTGGTGACGATGACGGAATGGTAGCGGTGGTGATGTCGCAGGAACGGTGGTGGTGCGGACGTATCGATGGCGTGGCGGTGATGTGGTGATGTCGATGTCCATCGCCGTGTGTCGCCCTCTTGCCGTGCAGCTCAGAAAGTTACGTGCGACACCAAGCTTCGCGATCGCTGTAAGGGCACGCCGTGCAACAGGTGAGCGGATTGTCACATCACCCGACTCGCCTGTGTCACGTGACCCCACACACATTTGTCACGTCACCCCCCCCCCCCCACACATCTGTGTCACGTGACCCTCCCCCCCCCCTCACCTGTGTGCAGGTACGAGTGCCCTGCGGGCTGTTTCCACAGCAGTGGCAAGGTCATCGGCACCCTCTACTATGACATGGTACGAGGCATAATGGCACGTGCAAGCCACGTGTCACACGGTATAATTAATTGTACAAAGTGGTACAATGACGTGGGATAATATATTGCAATGTGGCACGACGGACGTGGTACAATGTACAGGCGGTTCCTGAGATACGAACGTCCGACTTATGAACTTCCGCACTTACGAACGAACCGACATAGGATAGTGGCATTGTTTTTGTGCTGTTCGCCTTTTGGCGTCCTCTGGTCTAACACCGTTTGAGACGAGGCTCTAAAGAAAGCTGTCTCTGGTGCGGACCAATCAGCTTCAAAGACAACGCATCATCTACTACCAGAGCATGTCTTTTTTGTATATTCACCACAGGTATATGTGGTTAATGCAGACATGATTCCTTGCAAAAAAGGTTTCAGTTTGGTGTTTTAACATCTCAACACAACTGATTTATTGCCAGAAAGGGTGAAACCTACTCTCGTATGTTGATAATGGCAAAGGGAGGTCTCATGACGTTATTATTAACCATCAGACTTCCAAACGTCCGGTCGCGCTCATGAGCCGAACCGCGGAACTATTTTGTTCGGTGGACCGATGCTCCACGAGATGTCATCCCGTGTGATGCACACTCCTTGAAACGAAATGGTACAATGCATTACGATGTGGTAGAACGACATTGTACAATGTAGTGTACAATCACGTGGTACAATGCACCACAACACGGCATGCTGCGTAGCGGTCGTATGACTTGCGTGACCAGTGGCATGCCGATCACGTGACTGACATGGCGGTCGCGTGTTGGGTCACGTGGTCCCGCAGCAATCGAGCGTATGCCGCGCCGCAATGCATTACGGGATTGTGGACAACGAGGGCGGCTGGGTGGACGTGACGCGCAACGGACGCATCCCGTTCTTCGTGAAGTCGACCCGCGAGGGCATCACCTCGATCAGGTGAAGCCGCCGCGCGAAACTCACACGACCGGGTTGCGGGAATGGGTGGCGGGAGTGAGGCTCAGGTGTGAGTGGTATGAGTAAGTGGTATGAGTAAGTGGTATGAGTGAGTGGCATGAGTGAGTGGAATGAGTGAGTGGAATGAGTGAGTGGCATGAGTGAGTGGTATGAGTGAGTGGTATGAGTGAGTGGTATGAGTGAGTGGCATGAGTGAGTGGAATGAGTGAGTGGAATGAGTGAGTGGCAGGAGTGAGTGGTATGAGTGAGTGGAATGAGTGAGTGGCATTAGTGAGTGGTATGAGTGAGTGGTATGAGTGAGTGGTGTGAGTGAGTGGCATGAGTGAGTGGTATGAGTGGCATTCGTGAGTGGTATGAGTGAGTGACATTAGAGAGTGGCATTAGAGAGTGGCATGAGTGAGTAGCAGGAGTGAGTGGTATTAGTGAGTGGCAGGAATGAGTGGCAGGAGTGAGTGGCATGAGTGAGTGGAATTAGTGAGTGGCAAGAGTGAGTGGTATGAGTGAGTAGCAGGAGTGAGTTGTATGAGTGAGTGGAATTAGAGAGTGGCATGAGTGAGTGGCATTAGTGCGTAGCAGGAGTGAGTGGAAAGAGTGAGTAGCAGGAGTGAGTAGCAGGAGTGAGTGGCAGGAGTGAGTGGCAGGAGTGAGTAGCAGGAGTGAGTAGCAAGAGTGAGTGGCAGGGGTGAGGGTGATTTACGCCTCTGTTTGTTCCACAGCAAGTACCGCCCCGCCAACTCCTTCACTGTGTTCCGTGTGACGGGTGAGTGAGCGCGGCTCCTCACCACCACTCACTACCGCTCACCACCCGTTGTCCCTCACCCCTCAAACGTTCACTACCCCTCATCCCTCACCCATCACCACCACTTGACCCTCAGCATGCCTCACCACCTTCACCATCTCTGACCACTCCCCAACCACTCAACCCTCACACACCACCTTAACCACTCCTCATCTCTCACCACCCCTCACCCCAAAGGCGGATTTAGTTTTGAGGGGGGCTGGGGGAGCACACAGGGCTGTTAAAGGTTTGGAGGGTGGAGGCCCTCTCTTTATTACCCTGTTCCTCCCCTTGACAGAGCACCATGTTGGCTAGGAGATGTTAACTACCTCGCCTGGTACACAGGAGGTCGTGGGTTCGATCCCGAGCCTGATGACGCCTGCTGCTGTATATTTGGAGTTTGCGTGTCTCTCTCTCTCTCTCATCATCATCATCATGGTGGCTAGGCGATGTTAACTACCTCGCCTGGTACACAGGAGGCCGTGGGTTCGATCTCGACCCCGACGCCTGCTGCTGCTGTATATTTGGAGTCTGCGCGTCTCTCTCTCTCTCATCATCATCATCATCACGGTGGCTAGGAGATGTTAACTACCTCGCCTGGTATACAGGAGGACGTGGGTTCGATCCCGACCCTGATGACGCCTGCTGCTGTATATTTGGAGTCTGCGGTGTCCCTCTCCCTCTCTCTCCCCGTGGTCGCACGGATTTGTCTCCGGGTCCTTCGGTTTTTTTTGCCTCCACGTTTATAATCAACGTCACGCGTTTCGAGTGTTTGGCTGCTGCTATACATGTCCACGTGATGATGATGATGATCATGATGAGCCGCTCTGCTGAGCTGTTATCAACTGTGGCCAGATCGCTTCTGAGAAATGGCAATATCGCTCATTGGGCCTTATCTGGTAGAATAACACACGCAGATTTGGTGATCTGTGCGTCACGCCTGCCACTCTGCACGCTGTGTGTAACGCCGCTGGCTGGCCACGTGGATTGTCAGGAGAAAAAGATGGAAATGTTCTCATGGTTTATCATGCAAGAATGGTTTATCATGCAATAATTTTTACGAATTAATCATTAGTTCGTTATTACAAACACAATCAATTTATTCCAAATAAATCTACACCGCCGCTTTTGATAGGAGCCGAGTGCACTCCAGTTTTATTCTTTTATTTTTTCGTTTTGCGCTACCTTACAAAATAACAAGAATTATATATAGTTCTATTCGGTTAATTTGTGCGTGACAACAATTTTTGTAAAAAAAATTTGGACGTCGAATAGAAGTTGAAATTGAAGAAGCGGAATCCGCTTTTAATTTGAACTCGGTGCAGTTTCACTTTCATGACTTTTGCTCGCACTGAAGAGTGAAAATTTGCGAAAATTCGTGAAAACCAACCTCACACCTTCCCATCAATAACAAAAAGTTACTTTTCTCCAGTTCGAAATTAATTCAGAATCCAGTAAATTATTGTAACCGAGTGCAATTCGTTTCGGTAACAGCGACCTAATTTTGGCGAAAATGAGTGAACAACGACCTGTCCTTCCGGTTTATAAATAGTAACAAAAAAAAAATCACATCAATGCAGAATCCAATAAGTAAAAAGTCTTCACGTCAAGGAAAACTTTTGGGAGATGATCGTCAATTTACACCGAATTTGATATATATAGAGATATGTTCGATTTAATAAATTCGATACAATCCTCCAGACAGTCTCGTCCCTTCACCTGATGAAGGCCACTTGTGTTGTGGCCGAAACGTCGTGAGAATTTTATTGTGTTATTTTATTTTATTAATTTATTATTTTATTCTCATTCTACGTGACTTTACCGAAAGAACCAAAGAAGATGAATCCTTGCAGTCACGAAAGCTTTAAATCGAAATACAATCCTTCCATTTTAGTCTTTTTCATTCAACTTAATATTTATGAGCCCGTCATGTGGCGGCCAATTAAACTAATGAATAAATAGTTTAACAGCTTAGTTTAGACTGTTCCACCACCACCACCCATGCCTGATGATGATGCTACCCCGGAGGAAGGGAGGGATTATGATGATGATGATTGGCAAGCTGCTTGCTCTTACACTGCTGAGCCTCCCGGAAGTCTGGGCTCCACCCGCACTAATCTCGCTCCGCTCACTCTCACCACTCGAACGGGGGGGCCCGCCGCTCTCTCCCTCCCTCCCCCCCGCAGTGAAGGCTCTGGACTGTGTCACCACCGTGGGCCAGCTGTGTCCTTACAGGAAACCAGCGACGCATTGCCCCAGGTGAGCGTGAGTCCAGGTGAGCGTGAGTCCGGGTGAGCGTGAGTCCGGGTGAGCGTGAGTCCGGGTGAGCGTGAGTCCGGGTGAGCGAGAGTCCGGGTGAGCGAGAGTCCAGGTGAGCGAGAGTCCGGGTGAGCGAGAGTCCGGGTGAGCGAGAGTCCGGGTGAGCGAGGGTCCCAGGTGAGCGTGAGTCCCGGGTGAGCGTGAGTCCGGGTGAGCGTGAGTCCGGGTGAGCGAGGGTCCGGGTGAGCGTGAGTCCGGGTGAGCGTGAGTCCGGGTGAGCGTGAGTCCAGGTGAGCGTGAGTCCAGGTGAGCGTGAGTCCGGGTGAGCGTGAGTCCAGGTGAGCGTGAGTCCAGGTGAGCGTGAGTCCGGGTGAGCGTGAGTCCGGGTGAGCATGAGTCCGGGTGAGCGAGAGTCCGGGTGAGCGTGAGTCCGGGTGAGCGTGAGTCCGGGTGAGCGTAAGCCCGGGTGGGTGTGAGTACTGGTTCTAGGTGAGTGTTAATCCAGGTGAGCGTGGGTCCAGGTGAGCGTAAGCCCAGGTGAGCGTGAGGCCAGGTGAGTGTGAGTACTGGGTCCGGGTGGGTGTTAGCCCAGGTGAGTTTGGTTAAGGTGATTGTTGTTCAGGTGGGGATTTGGGAGTAGTCGAGGTTTGGGTGAGTAGCGAGGTTTTGAGTGAGCATGGTGAGGAGTCCTGGCTCCCTCACCCTACCTCACCCCACCTCACCCCTGTGTCTGCCCCCCCCCATCCCCGTCCCCCAGGGTCCACTGCCCCGCCCACTGCATGCAGTACAACCCTCATCAAGCGCGTGTCATTGGCTCAACGATCTACTCTGACGTGAGTGACACCAAGACAAAGATCCTCCGTGTAGCCTCACCAGGCTGCTGGGGCAAGTGCTAGTAGTGATGAGCACCTATGAAGGCCGGCACGGCACACGAGGGGGTGGGTGGTCAGCAACACGCCCGGCCGCCTTTGTCTCCCCAGTGGCGATGTTTACTGACACTGCACCAGGTACTCATTTGAGGCTGAGTCGACCTAGGGTTTAGCGTGCTGCGCTAAGAACCCAGCAACCTGAGTTCGATTCCTAACACCAATGACGATTATTTGAATCGGTGAGTGTAATGGTGAGCGTGTTGGTGAGTATGATAGTGAGTGTATTGATATTGCAGCGGGTTAAATTCAGGCGCACACTGGAACTTGGGAGGCAACGCTATTTATTAGGCACCATAACAATTAACGCTTAACATAACGACTTAACAAACACACGAGGATACTATATTACTGGACCAGGACAGCCCCACACGCTGCCTGGTCCACTAGCGGAGACCCGAGAGATTCATCCCTGAGATGACCCAGCAGCAGAGCAGAACAGCGCAGACCAGCCCCCAACTCTCCGTCCACACCCCGCTTATAACCACTCCGGCGTGGCTGGCTCCGTCCCAGGCCACGCCCCCCTTCCCGATCCTTCTGGAAGGCCCGAACCCCAACCACGTGATTCCCCTGGGACCCCTGGCCCCCCCTCTATCCGGTCACGTGTCCTGTTGGGTTCACGGAGAGAGTCACGGCCTGACACGACCCCCGTGACACCTGCCTACAGCCCCCATATAGGGCCAATACAGCAGTGTCGTTCTACAACACCACAATAGGTAGTGAGTGTGTTGATGAGTATGGTAGTGAGTGTGTTGGTGAGTATGGTAGTGAGTGTGTTGGTGAGTATGGTAGTGAGTGTGTTGATGACTATGGTAGTGAGTGTGTTGGTGAGTATGGTAGTGAGTGTGTTGATGACTATGGTAGTGAGTGTGTTGGTGAGTATGGTAGTGAGTGTGTTGATGACTATGGTAGTGAGCGTGTTGATGACTATGGTAGTGAGTGTGTTGGTGAGTATGGTAGTGAGTGTGTTGATGACTATGGTAGTGAGCGTGTTGACTATGGTAGTGTGTTGATGACTAAGGTAGTGAGCATGTTGATGAGTATGGTAGTGAGTGTGTTGGTGAGTATGGTAGTGAGTGTGTTGATGAGTATGGTAGTGAGTGTGTTGATGACTATGGTAGTGAGCGTGTTGATGACTATGGTAGTGAGCGTGTTGATGACTATGGTAGTGTGTTGATGACTATGGTAGTGTGTTGATGAGTATGGTAGTGAGCGTGTTGATGAGTATGGTAGTGAGCGTGTTGATGAGTATGGTAGTGAGTGTGTTGATGAGTATGGTAGTGAGTGTGTTGATGAGTATGGTAGTGAGCGTGTTGATGACTATGGTAGTGAGCGTGTTGATGAGTATGGTAGTGTGTTGATGAGTATGGTAGTGAGTGTGTTGATGAGTATGGTAGTGTGTTGATGTGTATGGTAGTGTGTTGATGAGTATGGTAGTGAGTGTTTTGATGAGTATGGTAGTGAGTGTGTTGATGAGTATGGTAGTGAGTGTGTTGATGAGTATGGTAGTGTGTTGATGAGTATGGTAGTGAGCGTGTTGATGAGTATGGTAGTGAGCGTGTTGATGAGTATGGTAGTGAGTGTGTTGATGAGTATGGTAGTGAGCGTGTTGATGACTATGGTAGTGAGCGTGTTGATGAGTATGGTAGTGTGTTGATGAGTATGGTAGTGAGTGTGTTGATGAGTATGGTAGTGTGTTGATGTGTATGGTAGTGTGTTGATGAGTATGGTAGTGAGTGTTTTGATGAGTATGGTAGTGAGTGTGTTGATGAGTATGGTAGTGAGTGTGTTGATGAGTATGGTAGTGAGTGTGTTGATGACTATGGTAGTGTGTTGATGAGTATGGTAGTGAGCGTGTTGATGAGTATGGTAGTGAGTGTGTTGATGAATATGGTAGTGAGTGTGTTGATGAGTATGGTAGTGAGTGTGTTGATGAGTATGGTAGTGAGTGTATTGATGAGTATGGTAGTGAGCGTGTTGATGACTATGGTAGTGAGCGTGTTGATGAGTATGGTAGTGAGCGTGTTGATGACTATGGTAGTGAGCGTGTTGATGAGTATGGTAGTGAGTGTGTTGATGAGTATGGTAGTGAGTGTGTTGATGAGTATGGTAGTGAGCGTGTTGATGACTATGGTAGTGAGCGTGTTGATGACTATGGTAGTGGGCGTGTTGATGAGTATGGTAGTGAGTGTGTTGATGAGTATGGTAGTGAGTGTGTTGATGAGTATGGTAGTGAGCGTGTTGATGAGTATGGTAGTGAGTGTGTTGATGAGTATGGTAGTGAGTGTGTTGATGAGTATGGTAGTGAGCGTGTTGATGAGTATGGTAGTGAGCGTGTTGATGAGTATGGTAGTGTGTTGATGAGTATGGTAGTGAGCGTGTTGATGAGTATGGTAGTGAGTGTGTTGATGAGTATGGTAGTGTGTTGATGAGTATGGTAGTGAGCGTGTTGATGAGTATGGTAGTGAGCATGTTGATGAGTATGGTAGTGAGTGTGTTGATGAGTATGGTAGTGAGCGTGTTGATGAGTATGGTAGTGAGCGTGTTGATGACTATGGTAGTGAGCGTGTTGATGAGTATGGTAGTGTGTTGATGAGTATGATAGTGAGCGTGTTGATGAGTATGGTAGTGGGTGTGTTGACGAGTATGGTAGTGAGTGTGTTGATGAGTATGGTAGTGAGTGTGTTGATGAGTATGGTAGTGAGCGTGTTGATGAGTATGGTAGTGAGCGTGTTGATGAGTATGGTAGTGAGCGTGTTGATGAGTATGGTAGTGAGCGTGTTGATGAGTATGGTAGTGTGTTGATGAGTATGGTAGTGAGCGTGTTGATGAGTATGGTAGTGTGTTGATGAGTATGGTATTGAGCGTGTTGATGAGTATGGTAGTGTGTTGATGAGTATGGTAGTGAGCGTGTTGATGAGTATGGTAGTGAGCGTGTTTATGACTATGGTAGTGAGCGTGTTGATGAGTATGGTAGTGAGTGTGTTGATGAGTATGGTAGTGAGTGTGTTGATGAGTATGGTAGTGAGTGTGTTGATGAGTATGGTAGTGTGTTGATGAGTATGGTAGTGAGCGTGTTGATGAGTATGGTAGTGTGTTGATGACTATGGTAGTGAGTGTGTTGATGAGTATGGTAGTGAGCGTGTTGATGACTAAGGTAGTGAGTGTTGATGAGTATGGTAGTGAGCGTGTTGATGAGTATGGTAGTGTGTTGATGACTATGGTAGTGAGTGTGTTGATGACTATGGTAGTGAGCATGTTGATGAGTATGGTAGTGTGTTGATGACTATGGTAGTGAGTGTGTTGATGACTATGGTAGTGAGCGTGTTGATGAGTATGGTAGTGAGCGTGTTGATGAGTATGGTAGTGAGTGTGTTGATGAGTATGGTAGTGAGCGTGTTGATGAGTATGGTAGTGAGTGTGTTGATGAGTATGGTAGTGAGCGTGTTGATGAGTATGGTAGTGAGTGTGTTGATGAGTATGGTAGTGAGCGTGTTGATGAGTATGGTAGTGAGTGTGTTGACGAGTATGGTAGTGAGCGTGTTGATGAGTATGGTAGTGAGCGTGTTGATGAGTATGGTAGTGAGTGTGTTGATGAGTATGGTAGTGAGCGTGTTGATGACTATGGTAGTGAGCGTGTTGATGAGTATGGTAGTGAGCGTGTTGATGACTATGGCAGTGAGTGTGTTGATGAGCATGGTAGTGAGCGTGTTGATGACTATGGTAGTGTGTTGATGACTATGGTAGTGAGTGTGTTGATGAGTATGGTAGTGAGCGTGTTGATGAGTATGGTAGTGAGTGTGTTGATGAGTATGGTAGTGAGTGTATTGATGAGTATGGTAGTGTGTTGATGAGTATGGTAGTGAGTGTGTTGATGAGTATGGTAGTGAGCGTGTTGATGACTATGGTAGTGTGTTGATGAGTATGGTAGTGAGCGTGTTGATGACTATGGCAGTGAGCGTGTTCATGAGTATGGTAGTGAATCGGTGAGCGAGGCAGTGAGCGGAGTGAGTGACCTGCCGGGGAGCCTTCGACGCTCCGCGTGGCCTCCGAAAGTGCTCCTGGCCTCGCGTCACAAGAGCCCTCGTGACGTCGCCACCGCCGCTTCGGTGGCGATTGGCGACTGCCGCCGCCGTCGGCGTCGTCGTCGAAGCGAGTGAGCCGCCGATTGTTGTCGGCGTCCATCCCCCCCTGGCACAGCTGTCGAGCGCGTGCCGCGTGGCGGTGCACGCCGGCGTGGTGCAGAACGCGCGCGGTGGCTACGTGGACCTGATGCCCGTGGACAAGAAGTCTGAGTACCTGGCCTCCTTCCAGAACGGCATCTTCTCCGAGAGGTGCGGCACACCTGCGAGTGTGGTGCACCGCGTGCGTGCGTGTGTGTGTCTGTGTGTGTGTGTGTGTGTCTGTGTGTGTCTGTGTGTGTGTGTCTGTGTGTGTGTGTCTGTGTGTGTGTGTGTGTGTGTCTGTGTGTGTCTGTGCGTGTCTGTGTGGGTCTGTGCGTGTCTGTGTGTCTGTGTGTGTCTGTGCGTGTCTGTGTGTGTGTCTGTGCGTGTCTGTGTGTATCTGTGCGTGTCTGTGTGTGTGTCTGTGCGTGTCTGTGCGTGTGTGGCCTCAAGGTGCACATGGCCTGGCACAAGCGTCGTGGTGACGTCACCGCCACTTAGTGGCGAATGGCGGTTGTTGTTGTTGTTGTGGTGCATCTCAGTCAGTCGACCCGTGGCACCTGCTGGGTCTGTCCCGTGTCCTGCCTGCGGGCGTCCGACACCTCACGTGGCCTCAACGTGCACCTAGCCTGGCACAAGCGCCGTGGTGACGTCGCCGCCACTTAGTCATTGTCGTTGATGCTAGGGGAGCGGTGGCTTCCCGGTTTCTCTGCGCTACGAACCCGGCACTCGGAGTTCCATTCCCCGCTCACGGCCACCAACGCCGGTGACGATGATCCCGAACCGGCCCTGGGACTCCCCGAGGTCGACTCGGCCTCAAATGAGTACCTGGTGCGGTGCGTAAACATCGCAAGCGGGGAGACAAAGGCGGCCGGGCGTTGTGCTGGCCACCCACCTCCTCGTGTGCCGTGCCGGGCTTCATAGGTGCTCGCTAACAGCGTTCACTCCAACATTTAAGGCTATGCGGGGGGGGGGGGGGGGGGGGATATCTTTGTGGTGTGAGTGTTGTGTGTTGTGAGTGTTGTGTGTTGTGAGTGTTGTGCGGTGTGAGTGTTGTGTGGTGTGAGTGTTGTGTGGTGTGAGTGTTGTGTGGTGTGAGTGTTGTGCGGTGTGAGTGTTGTGCGGTGTGAGTGTTGTGCGGTGTGAGTGTTGTGTGGTGTGAGTGTTGTGCGGTGTGAGTGTTGTGTGGTGTGAGTGTTGTGCGGTGTGAGTGTTGTGCGGTGTGAGTGTTGTGCGGTGTGAGTGTTGTGTGGTGTGAGTGTTGTGCGGTGTGAGTGTTGTGTGGTGTGAGTGTTGTGCGGTGTGAGTGTTGTGTGGTGTGAGTGTTGTGTGGTGTGAGTGTTGTGTGGTGTGAGTGTTGTGTGGTGTGAGTGTTGTGCGGTGTGAGTGTTGTGCGGTGTGAGTGTTGTGTGGTGTGAGTGTTGTGCGGTGTGAGTGTTGTGCGGTGTGAGTGTTGTGCGGTGTGAGTGTTGTGTGGTGTGAGTGTCGTGTGGTGTGAGTGTCGTGCGGTGTGAGTGTTGTGCGGTGTGAGTGTTGTGCGGTGTGAGAGTGACAACAAGCGGCGACGCACTACCGCTCGGCCATGTCACGTGATTGTGATGTCGTTGAGTTTGGTTGAGTGTGTGATTGACCGTGGTTAACTGTGGTTGACCGTGGTTGAGTGTGATTGACTGTGGTTGTCCGTGGTTGAGTGTGATTGAGTGTGGTTGACCGTGGTTGAGTGTGGTTGACCGTGGTTGAGTGATTGAGTGTGGTTGACCGTGGTTGAGTGTGGATGACCGTGGTTGAGTGTCGTTGACTGTCGTTGACCGTGCGTGGTTTACCGTGGTTGACCGTGGTTGAGTGCTGTTGAGTGTGGCTGAGTGGTTGAGTGTGGCTGTCTGTGGTTGGGTGATTGACTGTAGTTGAGTGTGGTTGAGTGTGGCTGAGTGGTTGAGTGTGGCTGACTGTGGTTGAGTGATTGACTGTGGTTGAGTGTGGTTGAGTGTGGTTGACCGTGGTTGAGTGTGGTTGAGTGATTGACTGTGGTTGACTGTGGTTGAGTGTGGCTGAGTGGTTTAGTGTGGCTGACTGTGGTTGAGTGATTGACTGTGGTTGAGTGTGGTTGAGTGTGGTTGAGTGTGGCTGAGTGGTTGAGTGTGGCTAACCGTGGTTGAGTGTCGTTGACTGTGGTTGACCGTGGTTCACCGTGGTTGAGTGTGGTTGAGTGGTTGAGTGTGGCTGACTGTGGTTGAGTGATTGACTGTAGTTGAGTGTGGTTGAGTGATTGACTGTGGTTGACCGTGGTTGACCGTGGTTGAGTGATTGACTGTGGTTGACCGTGGTTGAGTGTGGTTGAGTGTGGCTGAGTGGTTGAGTGTGGCTGACTGTGGTTGAATGATTGACTGTGGTTGACCTTGGTTGAGTGATTGACTGTGGTTGACCGTGGTTGACCGTGGTTGAGTGTGGTTGAGTGTGGATGAGTGGTTGAGTGTGGCTGACTGTGGTTGAGTGATTGACTGTGGTTGAGTGTGGTTGAGTGTGGCTGAGTGGTTGAGTGTGGCTGACTGTGGTTGAGTGATTGACTGTGGTTGACTGTGGTTGAGTGTGGCTGAGTGGTTGAGTGGGGCTGACTGTGGTTGAGTGGTTGACTGTGGTTGAGTGTGGTTGAGTGTGGTTGACTGTGGTTGAGTGTGGTTGAGTGTGGCTGACTGTGGTTGACTGTGGTTGAGTGTGGTTGGGTGTGGCTGAGTGGTTGAGTGTGGCTGACTGTGGTTGAGTGGTTGACTGTGATTGACTGTGGTTGAGTGTGGCTGACTGTGGTTGAGTGTGGTTGAGTGTGGTTGACCCGTTTGTTCTCTCCACAGTTTGCAGAACCCCCCGGGAGGGAAGGCGTTCCGAGTGTTTGCCGTCATCTGACCCCGTGACCCCGTGACCTCGTGACCCCCGTGACCTCTGACTTTCTACGTACAACGATGAAATGCAACGAGCAGCGATCGGCCTCGTGGGGATAACGCGGCCGTGACACCGCACTGACACCACCACACTCACCACACTCACCACACTCACCACACTCACGACTACACTCACCACACTCACCACCACACTCACCACCACACTCACCACCACACTCACCACACTCACACTCACCACCACACTCACCACCACACTCACCACACTCACACTCACCACACTCACCACACTCACCACCACACTCACCACACTCACCACCACACTCACCACACTCACCACCACACTCACCACACTCACCACCACACTCATCACACTCACCACACTCACCACCACACTCACCACACTCACCACACTCACCACCACACTCACCACTACGCTCACACTCACCACACTGACACCACCACACTCACCACACTCACCACCACACTCACCACACTCACCACTACACTCACCACTACACTCACCACCACACTGACACCACACTCACCACACTCACCACCACACTCACCACCACACTCACCACACTCACCACACTCACCACTACACTCACCACACTCACCACACTCTCCACCACACTCACCACACTCACCACACTCACCACACACACCACACTCACCACTACACTTACCACACTCACCACCACACTCACCACCACACTCACCACACTTACCACACTCACCACCACACTCACCACACCCACCACACTCACCACACTCACCACACTCACCACCACACTCACCACCACACTCACCACCACACTCACCACACTCACACTCACCACACTCACCACTCACACTCACCACACTGACACTCATCACACTGACACCACCACACTCACCACACTCACCACCACACTCAACACACTCACCACTACACTCACCACCATACTGACACCACACTCACCCCACTCACCACCACACTCACCATCACGCTCACCACCACACTCGCCACACTCACCACCACACTCATACTCACCACACTCACCACACTCACCACCACACTCACCACACTCACCACAATCACCACTACACTTACCACTACACTCACCACACTCACCACACTCACCACACTCACACTCACCACTACACTCACCACTACACTCACCACACTCACCACACTCACACTCACCACACTCAACACACTCACCACACTCACCACTACGCTCACACTCACCACACTGACACCACCACACTCACCACACTCACCACACTCACCACCACACTCACCACACTCACCACTACACTCACCACTACACTCACCACCACACTGACACCACACTCACCACACTCACCACCACACTCACCACCACACTCACCACCACACTCACCACACTCACCACTACACTCACCACACTCACCACACTCTCCACCACACTCACCACACTCACCACTACACTTACCACACTCACCACCACACTCACCACACCCACCACACTCACACTCACCACACTCACACTCACCACACTCACCACCACACTCACCACCACACTCACCACCACACTCACCACACTCACACTCACCACACTGACACTCATCACACTGACACCACCACACTCACCACACTCACCACCACACTCACCACACTCACCACTACACTCACCACTACACTCACCACCACACTGACACCACACTCACCCCACTCACCACCACACTCACCATCACGCTCACCACCACACTCACCACACTCACCACCACACTCACCACACTCACCACACTCATACTCACCACACTCACCACACTCACCACCACACTCACCACACTCACCACACTCACCGCCACACTCACCACACTCACCACCACACTCACCACCACACTCACCACACTCACCACTACACTCACCACCACACTCACCACACTCACCACCACACTCACCACACTCACCACCAGTCACCACACTCACCACTACACTCACCACCACACTCACCACACTCACACTCACCACACTCACCACACTCACACTCACCACTACACTCACCACACTCACCACACTCACCACACTCACCACCACACTCACCACACTCACCACCACACTTACCACTACACTCACGACACTCACCACACTCACACTCATCACACTCACCACCACACCACCACACTCACCACACTCACCACACTCACCACCACACTCACCACACTCACCACACTCACACTCACCACACTCACCACACTCACAACCACACTCACCACACTCACCACACTCACCACCACTCTCACCACACTCACCACCACACTCACCACACTCACCACCACACTCACCACACTCACCACCACACTCACCACCACACCACCACACTCACCACACTCACCACACTCACCACCACACTCACCACACTCACCACACTCACCACCACACTCACCACACTCACACTCACCACACTCACCACACTCACCACCACACTCACCACACTCACCACACTCACCACCACTCTCACCACACTCACCACCACACTCACCACACTCACCACCACACTCACCACCACACTCACCACCACACTCACCACCACACTCACCACACTCACCATCACACTCACCACACTCACCACACTCACCACCACACTCACACTCACCACCACATTCACCACACTCACACTCGCCACCACACTCACCACACTCACACTCACCACACTCACCACACTCACAACCACACTCACCACACTCACCACACTCACCACCACACTCACCACACTCACCACCACACTCACCACACTAACCACCACACTCACCACACTCACCACCACACTCACCACCACACCACCACACTCACCACACTCACCACACTCACCACCACACTCACCACACTCACCACACTCACCACCACACTCACCACACTCACACTCACCACACTCACCACACTCACCACCACACTCACCACACTCACCACACTCACCACCACTCTCACCACACTCACCACCACACTCACCACACTCACCACCACACTCACCACACTCACCACCACACTCACCACCACACTCACCACACTCACCATCACACTCACCACACTCACCACACTCACCACCACACTCACACTCACCACCACATTCACCACACTCACACTCGCCACCACACTCACCACACTCACACTCGCCACCACACTCACCACACTCACCACCACACTCACCACCACTCACCACCACACTCACCACACTGACACTCACACTCACCACACTCACCACACTCCCACTCACCACACTCACCACACTCACCACACTGACACCACACTCACCACACTCACCACACTGACACTACACTCACCACACTCACCACCACACTCAACACACTCACCACACTCACCACCACACTCATCACACTCACCACCACACTCACCACACTCACCACCACACTCACCACACTCACCACCACACTCACCACACTCATCACACTCACCACCACTCTCACCACACTCACCACCACACTCACCAACACACTCACCACACTCACCACCACACTCACCACACTCACAACCACACTCACCACCACACTCACCACCACACTCACCACACTCACCACACTCACCACCACACTCACCACACTCACCACACTCACCACCACACTCAACACACTCACCACACTCACCACCACACTCACCACACTCACCACCACACTCACCACCACACTCACCACACTCACCACCACACTCACCACACTCACCACACTCACCACCACACTCAACATACTCACCACCACACTCATCACACTCACCACCACACTCACCACACTCACCACCACACCACCACACTCACCACACTCACCACACTCACCACCACACTCACCACACTCACCACACTCACCACACTCACCACCACACTCACCACACTCACCACACTCACCACCACTCTCACCACACTCACCACACTCACCACCACACTCACCACACTCACCACCACACTCACCACAATTACCACCACACTCACCACCACACTCACCACACTCACCACCACACTCACCACACTCACCACCACACTCACCACCACACTCACCACCACACTCACCACCACACTCACACTCACCACACTCACCACATTCACCACACTCACACTCGCCACCACACTCACCACCACACTCACCACCACACTCACCACCACTCACCACCACACTCACCACCACACTCACCACCACACTCACCACACTCACCACACTCACCACCACACTCACCACACTCACCACACTCACCACCACACTCAACACACTCACCACACTCACCACCACACTCACCACACTCACCACCACACTCACCACCACACTCACCACACTCACCACCACACTCACCACACTCACCACACTCACCACCACACTCAACACACTCACCACCACACTCATCACACTCACCACCACACTCACCACACTCACCACCACACCACCACACTCACCACACTCACCACACTCACCACCACACTCACCACACTCACCACACTCACCACACTCACCACCACACTCACCACACTCACCACACTCACCACCACACTCACCACACTCACCACACTCACCACCACACTCACCACACTCACCACCACACTCACCACAATCACCACCACACTCACCACCACACTCACCACACTCACCACCACACTCACCACACTCACCACCACACTCACCACCACACTCACCACCACACTCACACTCACCACACTCACCACATTCACCACACTCACACTCGCCACCACACTCACCACCACACTCACCACCACACTCACCACCACACTCACCACACTGACACTCACACTCACCACACTCACCACACTCACCACACTCCCACTCACCACACTCACCACACTCACCACACTGACACCACACTCACCACACTCACCACACTGACAGTACACTCACCACACTCACCACACTCACCACACTGACACCACACTCACCACACTCACCACACTGACACTACACTCACCACACTCACCACCACACTCACCACACTCACCACCACACTCATCACACTCACCACCACACTCACCACACTCACCACCACACTCACACTCACCACACTCACCACACTCACCACCACACTCACCACACTCATCACACTCACCACCACTCTCACCACACTCACCACCACACTCACCACACTCACCACCACACTCACCACACTCACCACCACACTCACCACCACACTCACCACTCTCACCACCACACTCACCACCACACTCACCACATTCACCACACTC